CTAAGACTTTATGAAAATCTTTTCTCGTGGGTGACATAGACTAATTGCCATAGATGACAGTATGGAATTCTGTACCCAAATAAAAATGACTAAATGTATTAATAGCAATCTTGAGGGGCATGTTTAGAAGTTCTACCTTGATCAGCATTTTTACAGAGACTTATGTGAAGGCATTGCTAGCATGACAGCTTTACATGCTGAGAGTTTGGGGGGGCATAGCTGGTACCTTGGATAACTGAGTCTGACCCTGAGGAGATCGGAGGAGATAGAAAGATGAGTGGACTCTAGCAAGATGAAATGTTAAAATGGTAAATGTAGGGTCTTACACTTAGTTTCCAACAGTCAGCTTCATATTAACGCAGAGAAAGGTGGCTTTGCAGTCTGTATAAGAAAGGCCTGAGGGGGTAAGTTGGCTGTGAACGTGTGTGTAAAGTCTGCAGTATGACTGTTGTCTCAGGAAATTAATACTGTGTTGAGCATCTGTTAGAGAAATAAGTTGTTGAGGAAGAAGACCTTATAGTCATGTTCTCCTTTGTGCTCATGCACCACTTGAAATGTTCCTTTTGCCCTGGATCACAAATTTATTTTGGTTTAACAACAAAATGGATGTCTGGAGCACTGGTTGTCAAACTGAAGCCCCCGGACACCTGTTTTGTGAATAAAGTTTTATTGGAACACAGCATGCCTCTTTGTTTTCTTATTTTCTGTGACTTCTTTCTGCTTCAGTGGCAGTTTTGGGTATTGTTACAGAGACCATTTGGCCTGCAAAGCCTAAAATATTTGCTCTCTGGCACTTTCCAGAAAAAGCTTTCCAACCTCTGGTCTAGAGAATTAGACCTAGATGATGAAGAGAGTGAAACTTTGGCAAGAGAGTAACAGCAAAAGGAACATGAGATTTTTTAACCAGGTGAAGAGAAGATTTAGGTGTGACAGGGAGAGCCATCTTCAAATGTTTGAAGCATTATTGTTTGGAAAAAAATTGGACCCTTGTCTGCTTAGCTTTGTTAGGGAAATTGAAAACATGATAGGAAATATGGGGCGAGGGGAGGATTTTGTTAGCATATAGAAAAGTTGTTTTAACATTGGATTGGGCTATTTCTAGAAGTAATGAGTTTTTTGGTAACCAGAGGCATTTAAAAAGAGGCCAGGGACTTCCCTGGCGGTCCAGTGGTTGGGACTCCACGCTTCAACTGCAGGGCATGCTGGTTTGATCCCTGGTTGGGGAACTAAGATCCGCATGCCGCGCAGTGCAGCCAAAAATTAAAAAATAAATAAAGAGTCCAGGGACTTCCCTGGTGGCGCACTGGTTAAGAATCCGCCTGCCAATGCAGGCGACATGGGTTCGAGCCCTGGTCCGGGAAGATCCCACATGCCGCAGAGCAACTAAGCCCGTGCACCACAACTGCTGGCCTGCGCTCTAGAGCCCGCGAGCCACAACTACTGAAGCCCGTGTGCCACAACTACTGAGCCCACGCGCCTAGAGCCTGTGCTCCGCAACAAGAGAAGCCACCGCAATGAGAAGCCCGCGCACCACAACGAAGAGTAGCCCCCACTCTCTGCAACTAGAGAAAGCCCCGCACATAGCAACGAAGACCCAACGCAGCCAAAAATAAATAAAGAAAATAAATTAAAGAAAAAAATAAAGAGGCCAGATGACTGTTTTACCTATTCACATAGGTGAGGGGCAGGCACGTGAGAACTAGATATCTCCTGAACTCTTGTGGTTCTGAGATTCTGCCTTGGAATGATTCTCAAACTCAGGTTGTGGTTCTCAAGCCTTTCTCCAGGGCACTGGATTAGTCTGGCCCAACAGATTGTAGATCAAGCAAGTCCTGCAGGCCTTAAACAGGGGATTATTACCTTGATCAGATATTCTGGTGTATACCAAAACATCATTCCAATAGAAAATAATATATTTAACAGGCATTAACTAAATCTAGTTTAGCTCCTTTAAAAGTTTACATTTTACTTATTTTTTCAGGCATGTGGAAGGTGTGACTCATTCTTCTTTCCTCCTATTGATTCACAAGACAGTTTCAAGTTTCTTTGTTTGTTCCAAGTGATACGTGACCTTGAAAAATACTCAAGTGTGTAAGGCTAGAGCACAGAGTGCCCTTCAGGTTTACTGTTTGCTACCTTTTGTAATCTCAGATTAGATTTCCTTGTTATACTTGAGCTTATCCGCTATTATTATTAAATGTAAAAAATGCAGTTAGGCCAACTGACCTTTTTGTATTGAGTTCTATAATCTTTTCATACTTCTACTGGTCTCCTGAAATAGAAATTTAGAGTTAAAACTTCAGAATTTGGGGACTTCCCTGGTGGCGCAGGGGTTAAGAATCCGCCTGCCAATGCAGGGGACACAGGTTCGATCCCTGGTCCAGGAAGATCCCACATGCCGTGGAGCAACTAAGCCCATGCACCACAATTACTAAGCCTGTGCTTTAGATAGAGTCTGTGAGCCACAACTACTGAAGCCCACGCGCCTAGAGCCTGTGCTTTGCAACAAGAGAAGCCACCGCAATGAGAAGCCTGTGCACCACAACGAAGAGTAGCCCCAGCTTGCTGCAACTACAGAAAGCCCACGTGCAGCAACGAAGACCCAACACAGCCAAAAAAAAAAAGGTGAAATGTTATAATAGCGGAAATAAAGAGATTTAAAAAAGAGAAAAAACTTCAGAATTTAAAAAGAGGAGCTTTTCAAATCAAAATACCATGAGTAAATGACCTTCTTTTAGATCTAAATTCAAATTATGGAAAGCTGCTGAATGAGAGTCATTCAGCAAACATTTGAATTAAGAGCATTGTACTTTGTACATCGTATTAACTATTCGTGTGATGTCTTAAATTGTTTTCCTGTGATTTGGGCTTCTTACAACTTTTGTACTTTGCAGTAGATGGTGGACTTGAAATGTGTGGTTTTCCAGTTTATCTGACCTGCTGGCTACGTCATGTGGGTCTGGGTTCGGACTTTGGTGAAATGGAGGAGGCCATGGCCCTCCCGCCTTGTCATTGGCAGCTTTTCAGGGTTCATATTGGTTGCATGTCCTCAGGTCTGAAAACTTAAATTCAGGCAGTCCTATCAATTGGGGACTCCTTCATTCTACAGAGGTTCAGGTGTCATGGTATCTGTTATGTGGAAAAGCTTTGCAGGCTGTAGAGAACCATGCACGTAGAAGTTGATTTTAGCGAGAACAGTAATACTCATTTAAGTAGGCTCCAGCTGAGAGTCTGGATGCAGCTGCAGAGCTTCTCTGGCCAGTGTTCTCCTTCACCATTTTCTTTCCACTGTCTGTCTCAGATCTTTTGTCCAGGATATCGCATTTCATCAGAATGAGTTGGAGAAATGGAGGCACTCAGCCATGGATTCTGTTGAGTGAACATTTGACTTACTAGCTAACTAACTCTCTTTGCTAGTAGTATTTTAAATTATTTCTATTTATTTACTTTTTTGCTACATCACACTTTTAAATCTTGAAACACTGATGAGAAATATTTCCTGCATATCCATAAAACATTCAGGAAGAAATATTGATCTTTAATTATGATTTTTTTAAAAATCACTTGCTCAGATGCTTACTACTTATTTTTTGGGTTGGCCTTAACGGAAAAACCCGAACGAACTTTTTGGCCAGCCCAATATATTCATACTAAACAAATACAAAGGACAGTTGAAACTTTTTTTCAGGCATTTGACTAGTATGACATCTTTTAAATGACAGCTTGTTGAATTAGGTAGTATTCCCACTCCCTGAGGGTGAGAATTAAGTTGTCCCTTACCCATTTTGTATCCCTTCGTCCCCACACCTAGTGGATGCTTCCTACATGCCAGGCACTGCAGTGTGGGTGTATTTGTGTGTGTGTTTGTGTCTCTGATGAATAAGTCATCAACATGACTCTTAAAGTATTACATAATTACATACAGATATTTTGTTTAAATTTTCTTTGAAGTTTTACTAAATAGCTCAACAATTGGGGAATACATTTGAACACCCTAACCTGTTGTTTTCTTCCTTTGCTTATTTAAGCAATCCATTTTCCAGCTGTAAAGGGATCTGTCATTCCTTTGGTGCTCAAAACACAGTAATGGTACCTAATGCTTATATAGCACTAACTGTGGGCTAGGTACTGCTCTAAGCACTTCCTGTATATTATCAGTTTATCTAATCCTTATGGCAATCCTTTGAGGTAAAGGCTGTGATCCTCATTTTACAGGTGAAGCAACTAAGACAGAGAGGTTAAGTAACTTACCCAAGGTTGTACCATTAATAAGTGCATTAGTAATGGTGTCAAGGGTAAAACAGCTAGATTGCCGTTAGTTGAGAGAGATGAAGGAGGTTGAGAAAGTCAGTGTGTGAATGCAGACAGTGCTCATTATCCGGCAAATAGGTGAGCACTTGAAAGCAATATAAACTTTTCTGCTGCAACATTGTAATATTATAAAAGTTGATTTGAGTAAAAAATTGTCTGGCAGTGCTTGGCAATCTTTGCCTCATTCATATTGCTTCTCCAGTTCTGTTATTTAGAAGAGGACATTGTATAACTAGATATATTCTCTAGATTTTTTTTTACTATTATTTTCTTTTTTAAAAAAATTTACATATTTTTGGCTGTGTTGGGTCTTCGTTGCTGCATGCAGGCTTTCTCTAGTTGGCAGTGAGCGGGGGCTACTCTTTGTCACGGTGTGCGGGCTTCTCACTGTGGTGGCTTCTCTTGTTGTGGAGCACAGGCTCTAGGTGCGCAGGCTTCAGTAGTTGTCGTGCACGGGTTCTAGAATGCAGGCTCAGTAGTTGTGGCGCACGGGCTTAGTTGCTCCGCGGCATGTGGGATCTTCCTGGACCAGGGATCGAACCCGTGTCGCCTGCATTGGCAGGCGGATTCTTAACCACTGCACCACCAGGGAAGTCCCTGTACTATTATTTTCATTTGAGAAATATTGTTCTAAATACTTGCTGGTATGCAAGGATTAACTCTGAATATTTTTTTTCATTTCTTAACAGTACAGTGCTGTGGATACCAATCCGCTCTCTCTGTATGTCATGCATCCATTTTGGAACACTGTAGTGAAGGTAAGATGATTAATAAGCATGTACTTAGGTTTTAGTAAGCTTTAAATATTTTAAACTATTTTATGGAGTATTACAGACCAACTGTCAGTTCAGTAAGACATTTAGAGAAACTGCCTCTCCCATCCTCCTTTCCTTTAGTCACATACCTTTTGATTTATCTCATCGTTGAATTATAAGCTTATACTCTAGGTCTATCATATTTATAAAATGCTTCTTAAATTTTCCTAAAATAAATATAATGTTATGATTATAAAAGTTTGTTGGTTATAGAATTATTTAAAATATAGAAAATAGACATTTCTATTAACTGATTACGGTTTATAATTTGATATATATGTATAATTCCTGTATATATGGTCTTTCAAATTTATAGTTTTTGTTTTGACACATTTGCATGTTGTGGTATGTAGTGGACAGAGAGATTTCTCTACTTTAATTATTTTGTAATTATTTTGGAAAAAATAGGTATTTCCTACTTGGCTGGCTCCAAATCTGATAACCTTTTCTGGCTTTCTGCTGGTTGTGTTCAATTTTCTGCTTATGGCATACTTTGATCCTGACTTTTATGCTTCAGGTAAGATTATTACTTTAATATAAAATCTTAAATGTCTAAATAGCAAAAATTGAGATATGGTTATTTTCTGATTCTATTAAGATGCTTGCATTTCTGAAAAGTTTTGAATATTAGAAGGGTTGTAAAATGTTAGAATTGGGTGTAAAAGCTAAGTTGTGTTTTCACAATCTGTTTCTAATAAGTTCTAGAAACCAGTTTGGCTATTGAATTTAGATATGCTGTCTAAAAAGCAATGAGGTTTTTGTAAATAAAGAGTAATGGGATTTATAAGAAGATGGAAAATTAGGACTCTGAAGTTTTGCCTGAAAATGGTATAAGCAAGGCCCAGCATACCTACCAGTTCTAGAAATATCCCTTCCCCTTTTCTAGGTATGGAATAAAAATTCCCTTTTTCTAAAGGCAATGTGATCTCTCTTTCCTCTGCTCAGCACTTATACGTACCTTTAATAACTCCCAGTTTCTTCTGAAAATGGCTGTTAGACCTTAGATATTTATTGACAGAAGTCTGGGCCCTTACTGAGGACGGGAGGCAAAATGCACCTTTGGAGGCAGTTTTCAGCTTATTCCCAACGTCTTCCTTCAGACCCACTGCTATCTTACTTCCTCCCACACCCCAGCTTCTGCCCCGGCTGGACAAGAGAATCTGGAGCACATCTGGGATGAGGGGGGATATGGGGGAAACAGTTTATTCTTATTGCTCAGCTGGTGGATGGAGTTGAGAGGAATAGAAAGATGGAGGTAGATGAGTATTTTTTGCATTCTAAGTTAGAAGATATTTTCCAATAAGAATACTTATAAATGATGTAGTCAGGAGTATTAGTACTATAATTCCAGGGTCCCCAACCCCTGGGCCGCGGACCGGTACTGGTCCTCGGCCTGTTAGCCACCGGGCTGCACAGCAGGAGGTGAGCAAGGGTCGGGCAAGCGAAGCTTCGTCTGCCGCTGGCCCTCGCTCGCATTAACCACCTGAAACACCAGCACTGCCCCCGCCTCCCCTATCCATGGAAAGATTGTCTTCCATGAAACTCGTCCCTAGTGCCAAAAGGGTTGGGGACCGCTGCTATAATTCATCTGTGTTGTGGGTTCAGC